TGCTTTACCAAATTAAAAGGACGGGGTTTGTGAAGGGAGGGGAACAATCTATACTGCTCTTTGTGGCTCTGATTTCCAGTACAGCCTTTGAGAGCTACGTTCCAGGTCATGTTTCCAGAAAGCTCCATATTCGTTAAGACTCCTTCCCCTCAGCACTTGCTGTTTGAGGAATTGCCATGACAACCCCCCGATACTGATTTCAGGTGGAAAACCTGTTTCAGGAATATGTGCCTCTGATTTGCCCAGTTTCCATTAAAAAAAATCAGAAAGTAAATGCACTTTTTTAAACTAAAATTTGCTAAGTTTTCAAATATGAGTTTTTTTTTTTTCATTAGTCTTAATGAAAGGTTGCAGAAACATGTTTTCTTGAACATGCAGACTAGGTCCAACTCTGAAGTGGACAATTCAGTTACACTACAAGCTACAGTAAATCACATTTCCCAAAGGAGGACTAGAAACAGAACAGTCTTGAGAGAAATACCAATCCATACTGGAATGTCCGTATTCATTGTTTCCTATTATATACAATGAGGCCTTTAGCATCTGGCCAATATTTTATTTATTTGTTCATTAAAGAACTAAAAGGTATTGGCCAAGCTTAAAAATACTCTGCTGAAAGCAAAGCTAAATGTTCCCTATGTTCTTCCAGATAATTTATGCCACTTACTGAAGCTTCTTATTTTCCAACAATCTTATGGTTCAAGGAAGTTCCTGCTTTTGTGCAAGTTGCTGGTTTTTTTTTCCTGGTGGTTTTTCAGTACCTTGTGTCAGTCAGCCTTTTGGTCTTTTATTGCTATACTGTGTGTTTATAAAGTATTTCTGTGAATGCTTATGCTTTTTATAATTAGTCTCTCCTTCCAAAGATTAGTGTAAGTGGACATTCCTTATTTTTCAAAGTTGGGCATTGCTTGCTGGGTAAGCTTACTGGGACACTCTTTGGGAAACTCCTCTCATACAGTTCTTTGGAAGCTGCTGGATGTGAGAAGCTTTCTTTTTACTGTGGCTTACTCACTACCACATCACAACTGAAATCTTTGTAACCTTTGTAAACTTTTGTAGGAAACTAATAGAGAGTTAAAATAAACTGGAAAAAAATCCTTCCTAAGCTACAAATTGTTTGTTGTTGGAACAGGAAGCATAAATATGAATGAGTTTTCTATTAGGTAGGTATAAGACAAATCAGCTCTGCCCTTGAGCACATGTGTCTGTGCTCCCAAAATATTGCATTTTTTGCACAGTCGTCTGCTATTTCTGTGGTTTACAGGAGACATCTTGTGGTCAAAACGCAAAAACACACACTGTGCAGATACCTGGTTGTGCACTGGGCATAGTCTGTCTTCTGCTAAGGCCATGGAGGGCAGTAGTCAGGCTTTCCCTGCCTCCCAAGTGGAGGTGAATTTTCACCATCAGGGAATAAGTGAAGTGAAAGTTATCCATCTGTCTGATGTGTGTTTTTGATGTGGGTGTCTGATGTGTGTTTTTGAACTAGGGCAGGCTGGTGGAGTTGGGCATAAATGGAGGCTCTAAGCTACATGTGGGACATTGTGAGCCTTCCATCTAGGGAGGCCCCGTGCAACCTGCTGCAGTTTGCTTGCAGTTTGCCGGTGGAGGGAGCTCACCTAGGAACCCGTCAGTTCCTGCCTGACACTGTGTGTGTTTGCTGACACGCACAGCGCTGGCGCAGCGTGCCGCAGAGCATGGGCAGTGAGGTGCAGCACAACAAATGAGTGTGCTTTCGTATGAGACTTCAGCGGGGTATTTAAGTGATGCTCCCTTTCTGCGGGCGGGCATCGTTCAGCCAATTCCTCTAATCTTGCTTATGGCTATTCTTAGAATTAAAGTGCTACCCAATACATACGTAGCAGAGAATTCCGCTGAGGGTCAATTATTTAGAGAAATCTGCTTTAGAAAAAACAAAAATGGTAAAGAAAAGCAAAAACCGTGGTAGATACACCTTAGGCATGCAGAAAGATGAGGCTGTTTAAAATTGTTTTATGATTCGTTACAGGAATCTTTGATTATAATTGCAATTATTAGATAATTACATTTACAGGGCTTCTCAGCTGGTCTGGCATTTTTACTGTAGTAGATGTCATTCAGATGTCTAGAAAATGACAGCACTTACTTCAAAGAGCATATCAGATAAGAGAGAAGACAGAACAGATGAACGAGAAAAATAAGTGGGTTGTGGTAGGAGGGGTAGAAGACAAGGTAACTATAATAAAAGGAAGGGTGCAAACCTAAATTTATCACCATATCATGCTATTCTATTAAGAAACCTTGTGAGGGAGTCGAGAAATAATGAGTGTCCATGAAAGGTGGGTTGGGGAACAATAGCAGCAGCAAAAGGTAAATCCTAGAAGATGGGTAACAGAGTATTATTATCTGGCTATAGAAGCCATTCAATAGAAGTGTTTCAGGTGAGGCAATCTGGTAATGAGACCATGTAGTAATCATTTGTGCCCAAGCTGCTATTATCCATGGTGAGCAAATCTGATTCTTGCAAGTATGTGGTGAAAAAAATCATTACCTTCCAGTCCCCATGAAGTCACAGTTTATTAATAGAGCCCTACAGAAAATGGAAGTTCCATTTGGCAAAGGCCTGGACACTTGTCCTCATTAGCAGCAATACCAGTAATTTCACAAATTCTATGCAGAAGGATGTTTCACAAAGGATTAATGTCAGGTCAATCTGGATATTTTATTTTGAGATGTGGCCATTTTAGGTTTTATAGTGAAATATACAATTAAATGAAAATTTAATTAAAAAAATCAGGATGAAGAAAAACACTTTGCAACATTTTCGCATTTTTTCTGCCCTTTATTCCCCTTTGTTGCTTGAAATTGCTGAGAAAATTGTGCCATTTTGCAAATGTCTTAATGATAATGGAAATAAATTATTTATTCAAACGCTGTTTTCCTAACAAACTATTAACCAGCTCTCACTGGTCTTCCAGAACTGAATTTCATCCCCTTCCTGGAAAATTAAAACAATTAATACTTGGCCCAGCAGTATACAGCTCTGTGCATACTGGCTTGGAAAAGAATAAACCCCCTGTAACTATTTGCAAACCACTCTTGTTGGAGCCCATGGATCTTTGTCAAGATCCCATCTTGGAGTGTGGATGGGAAATGGCACAAACACAGATTGGTCCTTCTGTTCTTGTTAGAAGGATGTACTAGGATCATAATATCAGCAAAGTGACCGGAGAAACATAGTGCTCTATGATATAATGATGTGATTTTTATGATATAAAATGATATAATAACAAGTGCAATTTAAGTATGCAAACTACATTTAATCACCTCAATTCAAGTCCAGCTTCATATTAGAAAATAAAGGAAGGATGCTGCTATGTTGCTATACTGGTTCAAAAATCCATAATATAGACATGCCCTTGGACTTAAGATTTGCTTCAATTCTCCGTGCTGCTACAGTCTTTGCTAATCTATAACAAGTTACTTAGTCACTGTGCCATACGGCTTTCATAGATGTGCTAAGATAAATATCAAAGACAAATATCATATGGAATTTAAATGGAATAACAATACTCCCATTTGTTACAGTAGTAATGCATGCGTAAATTAAAATTTATGAAACATAAATATTACTATATTACTAAGCTACTGTGTTGACTGATTTTTGCTTATGAACAGGCATTGCTGACACAATATTGATGGAGAATGCTACAGCTTATCAAACAGTTAGCTCATTGCTTCCCCTTGCCTGATAAAAGGGATGTCACTATGGTCAGTATATCAAGTCTGGACACTATCTGCTCTGTTATTCCCCATCTGCCTGAGCAGCATAGTGTAGTTTAAGTTACGTGTGCTTAACAGTCAGTTCTGACCATGCTTGTCTTCAGGCTCCTGCAGTAAGCTCTGCATCAACTTTTGCGCTACTCATCCTCAAAGTTTAGCAGTGTTTATATCTTGGGGACAAGTGTGTAATTCTAAAAATAGGTGAGTTAAAAATGTGGTTGCCATCCCCCAAGTGCAATTTGGTATTGCCCCATAGGCCACAGCATCACTGCAAAGGAATTAAGCATACAGAAGTTAGAATTCAGGAAAAGCACTGAGCTTTGGAATTCTGGTCACACCAGAGATCCCTTTGGAATAGGACAAGTGGGTAAAAAAGCTGGAAGTTCAGTCCAGAACAGACACCTGTTTGTGCATGGCTGCTACTTAAGCTGCGAAACTCATAGATCTCAGGGAAGTCAAGGAATAAACAAGTTCAAAATGCAATTGGCCCTGTTCATAAGGCTAAGTCAAATGGTAACAAAAGATCAGAATGAGGGTATGCTTAATACTTCAGTAGTCCCTTAAGTCACAAATGCCCAGAAGCTGGAAATGCATGAAGAGAGAGCATCAATATACACTTGTCCAGCTCTTGCATTCTTTCCTAAATGTCTGAAGCTTGGTCCAGAGGCTGCTGTTGGAGGTATCTGCTGCTCTCCGCAACTCTTAAGTCTTGGGTCTTTAGTCTAAGGGACTTCAGTCTGACTGTCCACACTGCAGACAGACACCTCAAACATTGGGCTGTATGCATTTCATACAAGTGCTCTAGGCAGAGCTGTTTTTATACAGAAAATGATGTTGTTATAAGATCTTGTGCAGCTCATCCAGAGTCTGTACAAGCAAATGCCAGAGTGCTCCAAGAAGGTTGGAGCAAGGTCTCAACTCGTATCTCAGGGGACTGGTGTCTGTTATTATTCTGCAATAAATTCTTCTCACCAAAACTGTCTGCAGCTAGGGAATGCTTAGTTTTGTCAGCTTCCATCTTCTGTTGACTATTCCCTACATACTTTAATTACATAAAAATTTAAATACACCTGATGATAGTTTATTTCAAGAACATAGTGAACAGCTATTACATGAGCACGGTTTAGTTTAATCACAGCACTTTTCTCACTAGAGACCCGTTTTTAACATAGCATAAAAACTGCCAAAAACTGACAGCCTGGGGCCATATAGATGATACAAATATTGGTTAAAATTAATTTTGGGGGTTTTGTCTACTAAGACCATTAAAATTGTACATCTAAAAAATGGGAAGGATACTAAATGCAAAATCCGCCAAGTAACCGCAATATAGTTTTATGTACATATAGAAAAGAAACTAGTTAGTTATTGATATTTTGTCTGAGAAAGAGTCTATTGAGGGACTACTTTCTGGTAATATTAAAGATGATTTAAGTAGATTTAACCCCACAGACCAATTGTTGCATTCAGGAACCTAACACCACATGTGATATAAAAGCATTCCCACAGGAAATCTATTCTTCTCTACCCAAATGTCATTATCTAAAAGTGGATAGAGATTATTTGCATAGAAAACTTGAAGAAGATATTTTTCAGCTATTATAATACTACTGGGATTAGCACTTTCAGAAAAGATGATTTCTGCATCCTTTTCTTCTTTTTAAATAGCAGAATAAATCAACCTCTCAATCTGTTTTTGTTTTTGTTTTTTTCAGTGGTGAGGCTTTATTTTTTTCTTTTTTGCAGGTGAGAGTCTGCAGAATTTTCTGCTCATCACAATTTTGTTTTAATGCAAAGGAATTAGAAACAATCCTTGTTTTAGGTTTGGGAGAAGCAAAAGATGTTTTTGCGTAAGAATGCAAAAGATATTGTTTATAGCTGTGGAAAAATACTTTGGTTTTAGCAATAATAGAAATGGAAATAGAAATCATAGAAAGCCTTAAGGACCTCAGTAAATCATTTAGTCTAACGCTCTGGTGTATGGAAAGATCAAGTGTATCTAGGCCACTGGCAAAGATGTTTGTCAAATTATTCCTAAATGGCTTGAATGAAGAAGATCCCTCAGCATTTTTTTGCAACTTGGTGAAGAGCTTCATTATCTTTCCAGTTAGAAAGTTCCCCACATATCTAACAGCTAATCTTTAATTTTGAAAAATTAATACAATTTCTTCTTGACCTTGTTTCAGTGGCCTGGTTAACACTTCTTTTTTACTGAATTGCATGTCTCGATCTGTGTCCTATTCTTTGTAGCCTTCTTGGGGTCAGTAAGTCTCTTGGGATCAGTGTCAGGCTCTTTGGTTGCCTCATGATGACATGCCTTATGATATGTTACCTCACAGCACAGTTCTGCTGATACCAAAAAGGTTGTTCAGCCTAAGCAGGCTTCAGCCATCATAGAAACACCCACAGGAAGCAGAGAGGTTTCCATGTTTCTGCTGCTTCTTCCAACTTTTACTATGCCCTTGGGATTCCTTAGTCTTTATTTAATAAGGCAGATGGTTCATGAAAGACTTGCAAATTTTATAAAAATCTTGAAGTTAGCCTTCTAGTGAGGACATCAGCTTCCTAACTATGTTTTTTCCTAATGCATTTTCTTAAATTGGTAAAACTGAAAGTTTAAGAAGAGAAGGACTTGACTTGGTGCTTCTCAACTGGAGCACAGGGGTTACTGGTTCCACCAAGGTAGCAGCACAGGGACCCATCAGAAATATTCGTCTCAAGAGTATACTACAACTTTCCTCAGGTAAAACTAGAGGAAATTGATCCTGGCAGGGTCAAGCTGAGGCTGAGGCTGAGGCTATGGCGGGCCTGGCCTAGTTATTTCAAGCAAAAATGTAGTCCATGAGATGCCCAAAGGGCCAGTCTTCCCTAGCAGCACGGTGGGGACAGCCTGGCTCTCTCCTGGCAAGTGCGTGACCAAAGGAGTGCTGGAGATGGGATGGTCATGTCCTGCTAGAAGAGGAAGGCCGTTTCCAGGCATCCTGTAAGTGCAGGCTCCTTAAATCAAGACTGGGAAGATTTTCAGGCTGGGAAGTTGAGGCAGTTAAAGTGTGGCTGCCTGCGCTGCTGGGACCGCCACCTCTGGGGAATCCTGTGGAGACTGGAGAGCAGGTCCTCGCGCCAGAATCAGAGGCTTGGGCGACCATCAGGCAGATGGGTGGCAGGTCCAGGATGCAAGACAGGATGAAGCAGGGATGGCTTTCAAATCTGTGATTGAGCTGTGAGTCAGCCGTGCTCCTTTGCTGTTGTGCTGCAAGCACGTCAGGATGCAGAAGGCTGACCTAGAGCACTTGAGAGTACTGACGTGCCCTTGGCACCTGTGCCATGATTAACACACTCTTTTTTATTGCGAGGTGGAGAGCTGGATTTCCTGTAAAAGAAATCACAGCCTTTTCCAGGGCAGAATGATCCGTGAGTCAATCCAAATCTGTAAATGCATGAGGGGTGCTTGTTGAAAGGCTCTTTACGTATGTCACAGGATGAGAAAAGCTCAAAACTTTACAGGCTGACCTAATATTTTTATAGCTATATTGTGTCTCACGTGGGTCACATTTTAGCAGTGTGCAAACTGCCTGAGCAGTGTTTTGAAATTGCTATACAACCTGCTTCCCGAACACACCTGGAAGCCCGATGCTGATGTGTCTTACTCAGATATATTGCCCTCCCCAAGTCTTTGAATGAACAACTGGAAGCAAAGGTGAAATGAAGCATTCCTCAGGCAATAAGGGGTGAATCCTATCACGTTTCTGTTCACTACTTGGATAATTTTTCGGTTGTGTGTCAAATTGCATTAGGGTTTTGCCAGGAAAGAAGAAACACTGTGTTTTGCTGCTCCTGAATGTCTTTTGATGAAATCCAAGGCCTTAGCTGTTTATTTGGCCCCCACAGACGAAAGTTTGAATGACTTGTGACTTACTTGGTTCTCTATTCAGCTTGTTCACTAAAAGAAAACTGAAGAAATGAAACTAAACAATTGAATTCTGCCTTCTGGACTGAAACAGTATATATGTTAAAAAGAAAAAAAAAGGAGAAGAAGAAAGGGAAGGGAAGGGGAAGGGAAGGGAGGAGAGTGGAGGGGAGAGGAGGGGAGGGAAGGGAAGAGGAAAGGAGAGGAGAGGAGAGGAGAGGAGAGGAGAGGAGAGGAGAGGAGAGGAGAGGAAGGGAAAGGAAAGGAAAGGAAAGGAAAGGAAAGGAAAGGAAAGGAAAGGAAAGGAAAGGAAAGGAAAGGAAAGGAAAGGAAAGGAAAGGAAAGGAAAGGAAAGGGAAAAAGGATTAGAATTGTCAAGAACAGAGCCGCAGTGTCTTCTGCCCACTGATGTGGGTATGAATCATAGCCCTTCATTCCCCACGAAAGTGGGGGCAGAAGAAAGCCACTTGTGACTACACTGATGCCACCCCAGGGTGAAAGCAGAGCCTCTTTGAAAACTTAGTTCTTACTTTTCTGAAGTTCCCAATCAAGGTGAGCCACAGTATGCTGGCAACGGAGATTCCTATTTTTTTGCTCTCATCTCTGGCTTTGTCTGGTGAAGTGAACTGGGAATTGTCTAAACTCCAAGCTTGCTGTTTATATTTATTTGAAAATAAATATCTTGTCTTTAGAGACTATTGTATGTCTGCAAATATGTCTATTTTTTTCTGATCTCTCAAAAGTGATTTACCAGAATAAGATTTTTTTTTTCCTGGAACTGTAGTACTTAATCATTTCTAAGCAAATGTGGGAAAGAACTGTCATGTGTCCTTTGCTTTGTAAAGAACCATTAGGCTTTGGACCTATTAGATTGTATTCGGAGATTTCATTTGTCGCTCTTTTGTAGTTATATAATGAAATATTTATTGAAAAAGAAGGAGTAACCATTAACTGTCTTCCATCAGTAAACAAGCATCTCCTTCACCTTGTGAAAATGGAGGAAGGACTGATCTTCAATTAAACAGTGAATACAAGAGTTTGCTGAACACATTTTATCTGATAAGTGGAACATCTGTTCTGTCTCTCAGATTTCCTCAAGGAATTCGTCTTTTAAGCTATCACAGTTTTACATTCTGCCAAGGATTTTATTTATCACTCTGGCATGCTCAAAATTGCTTATCTGAGGTCCCTTCAAACTCTACCAAAGTATTTGCAGTATCCGAAGGATTTTGGTAACTGGTTTCCTATCTTAAAGTTTGTAAGCATTTGTTTTCCATGAAAATGCACAACTTCCTTAAATATTTTTGTGCCCTTTCTAGTCATAAACTCACAGAATTCTCTTGTTGATAGTGCCCCATTCCCTTTTAGTCATTTCTGTTTTATAATGCTTTACACCTTTTTTGTCCATAGCTTTTGTCCATGAAATGACTCTGCTGTGACATTTTTGTAGAGTTTTATTTTTTAGTTAGTATAAAATAGGTAGGTTTTTAAAGTAATGGCAACTTCTGACTTTCTTCTGATTCTTAAAAGACTCATAGAATTTTCCTGTGCATGCCCATGTCAAATGTTTTCTAATAATTTAATACGATTTGGCTTTTCTGCTGCACTCTGTTTCTTCTACATCTCATTGTACATTTCAGTTTTATTAAGAGATAGATTATCAAAAGAATTAAGCTCCACCTCTAAAGAAAGATCGAAGACCTTAGAATTTCATCTTTGTAGTACTTGTGTCCCAATTTTCAAATGAACTCAGCACGCAGTTCTGAATGCTTGAAAATCTGGATACTGTATGAGTATCTATTCATTTACCCTTTTTTCGCAACAGTCAGTTTTGGGTCAGGCTCCTAGAGTACAATGAGTAGTACTAAATGAAGAATAATTTAAAACTGTTAAGTTAAACAGTCAAAAGAAGTCTTGATTTCACACACACACACAAAGGTCTGGTTTAGTACGCAGGAATCACAGGAGATGGTCCAAGTCTGTTCTTTGTCTGATTGACTTCTGATAGCGAATTAATAGCACTGAACTTTCATTAGACGTGGGAAGAGAAATCTGCTGTGTGAAGTCAAACTCCAGCTATACACCTCAGCCTGACTCTCCTGCCCTTTTTCCTCTGTCTCTTTCTGAGCGTTGCTGCCAATCTGACTATTTGCCTCGGAACTTAGGGAGATACGGGAAATGAAAATTTGGGGAGAAAACCTGTAAAACTGATGTTTGTTAGTGGGCTTCTCCATTGTGTGAGTCCAGAATTCTTATAGTAAAATAACAATTTTAACTTACTCCTTGTTCTACCTTGCCCATCCAAGAGTTAACATGACCCACAGAAGCTAAGAATCTAAGCTCAGCTGTTAAGAATGTCAGACATAGTTTCCTTTTAAACATCTTCCTGCACCTGTCACATTAAAGATTTTGCTTTTGAAAAGAAAGAAAATCACAGCAGTAAATTCTGTTTATTTACTATACAAAGCTTTACCAAGTTCCCTATTGCTCAGTTTGTATTATTATGTCAAAAAGCCTTAGCTCTAGGTCAGGATTCCAGACTTTACCAACAAAAGCAATATACAAAGATTCAGATATGGTATTTCTGTCTTAATTGTGGACGCAATTGTAATGAAGCTTCCTCTCTGTTGCTATCTAGTGAGATGTAGCTACAAGGTTAGATATACTAAGTGCAGAGTCAAATTTAACAGGGCAATAATGAAATGCATAGACTGGAACTCACCATCAGCAGTGTGGCCCGACAACATGGCTAACAAACTGATTTGAGGCACCCAGGGCATGAACTGGTCTGTTTGTCTTCATCCATCTCCATTGCTGACACTTTTGGCTGCGGAGGTGTGGGGCGTGGAAGCTGGAGGCATTGAGGGATGGAGGAAGAATCTCAGAGATGCTCCTCACCACTTTATGGAAGTGTAGTAGAGTAGCACCGAGCTAAGCTCCCTTCTTTGCTTACAAAGTAAAACACTTCTGTGGCTGCAACTGGTACCTAAGTACTTTGCTATATTATTTTAATTCATACATGTTGGCTAAACTTTCAGGGTGCAAAAAGATCAATAGAAAATCCAGTACGTAAGCATCTTTTTAATATTTTAAAACCTCAGAGCAGATTTCAAATTGCCTAAATGTGAAAACTAGGAGTTCTTCATTTGTAAAACATGCAGGAGAAAATAGTGACATGCTCAGTTCTCGTGTTAAACAGAGAATTTTGCTTGCTTAGCTGTTTTCTCTCTTCTGCATCTGTTAGTAATGACATTAACTGCAAATGGAAATAATATGAAACTGTTCATTGAGACAGTGTACAGAGAAGTTTCTTCTTTTATATGGGAGTGTACTGCATTGTCAACCTTTCTTCCTTTCCTGTCATGATTAAGGACACTGATTTCAACTCTCTCAATTTGTAGTCTGTAAACAATTGTTTTTTTCAGAACAGAAAAATGGTGTCTGGTATAACGACATTCATTATTTTGGCTGTATTAGTTAAATAGGATTGATATCAGCACTCTTTTTCATCTGAATTTTGCAAATTGAGACAGTGACAGGTATTTACCAGCTTCACATTTTTGGTCATGGCCAAAGCACTATCCACTGCTAGTCAGAAGTGAACCTTGAGGAGATGGAAAAAAATAGTTTGGAATAGGATTTCAGTTTTGTGGAGTTTTTCCACCCATACTTACAGGAGATCTCTGGAATCCCCAATGTTAAATTATTATCAGTTTATGGAATAATACAATTCTTTAGTGACAGCAGAAACATAAGTATTGAGGAGGAGTTGCTGATGCTGTCATTCATGCACTCACAAATTTGTTTTCTTCCTAATTTCACCCATACACAGCTGCATGTTCTCCCTAATTAATGAATTGCCCTCAGGTTACTCACCCAGACAGATCTAATCTAATTCTGTCCAAAATGACTAAACTCTGTCCAGCATTAAAGATGTAAAAGGCCACAAATTACTTTCTTGGTCTTTCCAGATAGAAAATCACTGCTTGGTGAATGGCATTCGCTCCATGTGGCATTCAAGATGATTTAATCACCTCAAGGCTGAAGCTTCCAGTACAGTGAAGAAAAACATCAACTGCAGAAAAAAGTTTCTTAATTCAGATTCCAGTTCTAGAGAAGAAATATTCATTTCAGATGTAAGCTTATAATGACAATGCCATAAATGCAATAAAATGAATAAATATGCAGTTATTTCATCTTTAAGACACTTTATAAATGTTAACTAATCTTTCTTTTTTAGTTTCCAACTAAAGTTATGTGATCAAGATGAAAGACTAAGTCATTATTGTTACAGAAAACTATTTTTTTCCAGATATTCTAATAAAAAAAAAAAAGTGTATGCGCTTAGGACATAAAGTGAAATATGACTAAGTATATGTCATTTTTAATACCGGCTGACCTACAATGCGGTTTAAAAAATAAGGATGTACACCAAATTTCATATTAGTTTTACTTCTTTTTGCTTCCTAACTTGATTTTGCATGCTTCCTCCCAAAGGTCTCCAAGGAGATTTAAAAAAAATCAAAAAAGCCTCCTTACACCCTGCTGAAATGCACCACAGCCTAGTATGAAATTGATACCAATACTCCTCTGCAGGGTAAGGAAGTGGAAATGATAGCGCTGCATGTGATTTCCCCACAGGAATGCAAGCAGCAGGGATGCTTATTTTTTGCAGTTGAAGGCAAAAGATGTCCATATAGTTTGACTTCAGTTCAAGTGTAAACACTGCAGATGAAGTACTCAGCGCCATACTGATACAGGGGGTGATCTGTAAGGCACAAATTACTCCAGAGGCATTGGATTTACACTTAACAGTAATTTTCCCCAGAATCTATAGCTGAAATTTGCCTTTGAAACCAAGTCTTATTAGACACAGACCCTCCTTCTGTATACATTGTAACCGATAAAACAGGGAAAAAGAAGTGTGTGCTGCAAAGTTGTATGTTTTAAGAAAGGGAGCAACATCCTTGGAGAGATGGAGCTGATCTCTGCATTCAGGACTGACTTCCCTTTATAGTCACGAGTAGAGTATTCTCTTGTGCCTGCGATTTCTCATTTTTGTCAGTCTTTCCATGCAAATCGTGAAGATGAGATGGATTTCAAACAGGTGCATATAATGCCTAGCACAATTCACTGACCGTACGAACTGGTACGTTGTGATTTGCTCATAATATGAATAAAAAATGTGATGGGAACATTGTGGAGCTTGCTGTCAATGTAATAACTGAATATTGAAGAACATTTGCTGTTCTTTTTTAATTTTAGACTAACATAAGTTAGACGTGAATGAAACAAGCTCATCACCTAACTCCCTTGCTATTTTGAAAGCTTAGGGGCTTTTGTTGGTTTAAACTTTGTGAAAAACTAGAATTTTATGAAAAATACAACTGGAATTTTATGAAAAACTAGATTTTTCTCTTAAAAAATAGAAGTGAATGAGATATGGTGAATGGCACTTTAAGAATACACACATTTATTGCATTGGAAATAACCACAGAAATTACCTAATGGGAGAAACAGGCATAGTACTGCACAACACTACAGATTTTGGAATTATCTTACACTGTTTTTTATAAAAATTGCCTTGAAATACACAAACTTCACAGCTGGCATGCTGGTAGCGCTGTGTTTTCATCCAACCTGACTGGCAATTTCCTAACTGTCATTACTACATGCCATACTGGATACTGGCTACAACTCCCTATCTCTGCTTTTCTAATGTTTTTTCAAACTTATGAGGAATAACTATGGTGTAGAGAATTTGGGACCTCAAGCAGTCACCCACATTTAGTAATCAGCCCCCTGGGAAGATAATACAGGAAAGCTTGATTGCAAGTGCCAATGGGTTTGCTTTTCCAGGTCACTGCACAGGATGAGGCCTAAAAGGTGGATACTTTCCATTTTGTTTCTTTTTTTCTAGTCATTAAAGAGGCCAGCTTAGTCATGTTCTTATTTTAGGTGTTTCCGCATGATCCAGAGTTAACGTTCCTCAGATGCAGAAAGTTCCATGTGGATCCTTTATATTCTTCAAAAGTTGGCATGTTGCAGTCCTTATGTCTTCATGGTTTGATCTGCACAGAGATAAAGTTTTGTTTATTCTTTATACACATTATCATAATCCTAAAAGAAAAAGAAAAAGAGAGTAATGCTGAATTTTGCATCATGGATTTTGATTTTTTGATAGCTATGTCTTAAGAAAGGTTGTTCTCCTGTGCCTACCTCTGAGTTATAGTATCAGGTCAAAATATTAAAACCCTATTGGGATTCATTATAGCAAAACACTGTAAAGTAACTGTTATTGACAGGTGCCAGGGTCAGCTGTCAACCTGAGCTCCGAAGTCATTACAGACTGAATTGGTTCTGAACATCTGAAATTTCATTTTTACTGCCTGTCCGGGCAAGCTGGCTGCTCACTGACAGCCAAGGTATTGATGCAAGTGGTAGACTGACCTCTGGTTAGAG